GAAATATTGATCAAATCTCTTATATTTATGTTTTTAATTTCTAATAATCTTGAAATTAAAAACACTTTTTATTGATTAATAATTAAGGCAAGTTTACATTGTTGGGCGTTACAAAAATTTTGCTTACATCTGCCTCCAAACTCTCTCCACTCTTCAAAACTGAAGCCCTCCAAAGTCCGTCGACAACATCTCGTCGCTTTGCAATCTGTATACTAGAAGATATTCGCTGACTCCAATTTAATAGTCCTGTCATTGCCGTATTGATCGTTAGATGTTTTCCAAAAAGTTTGATTTCACCCACGCTGCTCTGATTTCCTTTCATCTCTCCTTTCTTTTCACATCTTTCTTTCCGGAGTTCCTTGCACTTTTCTTTCTTGGTCAAGTATCTATCTTTTATGGTGGCTTCTTTCTCTTCTAGACTCTTATTTTTACTTCTCTCATTAATCTCTTTAACGTCATCCTCTGGAAGGAAATAGCCGATATCTATCAGCTTTGATGCTTTTTGAGCTAGATTGCTGTTCATGTCGATTGCTTGGAAAGAAAATGAGTCCAAACTATCTCCCAAACAATTATTTGTGGATCCAAGACAGCGTATGCTTAGAGCGCTGCTATCAGGGCTCGATATATCCTCAGAAAGCTGAAGAAGGTCAAAATGGGAATTATGAAATCAAACCTAGCTCAATGTTTATTATTACTCAGATCTTAGAAGCAATCTTAAGACTTGTAACATTTAACTAATGTTGATGCTTGTAACATAATCACCACTCGTCTTTAGTACCATAATAAAAGAATAAATTATATAATATTTTAACATACGGAATATAGACTATTGTCTAAAACTAAACCTTAATTATGATTAACACAGATCAAGCGGTTTTAGCATATACAAATATAGAGAGATTTCCTAAAAATAAAGAATTTACCATGATATTGCATTTTACAATCGACGCTAGTTGTTAGTTTCCACTCTGTAACGTTAAAATTAGCCTTCATCTCTTACTAACACACGTAGAGATATAATACCGATGAAAATAAAATTAATTGTTTGAAGTTATATGATTGCCAAATTTTAGTCCTTTAATTTGTAGCACTCACCTTATATCCGATATTTTAATATAATATACTCTTTCCTATTTACATATATATTTAATGGTGTAAACCAATTGCCGAATAAATGCCTAGGAGATAGACCTCCAACATATATCTAACTCAAAGACTCAGGAGCACCAAACCAGGATCATATGAAATATGCTTAATCAACTCCTTTACTTCTATTGGTAACTAGCAAAAAAACAATATAGTTCGTATCACAAATATAGTTAGCTTTAGTTCAAATACATGGCTGTTAAAATTTTATCTTTAATGGGTAGGTTTTCGAGACTGGCAGTAAATCAGGGTGGACTACAGCTTCGACCTCACTTATAGTATTGATAAGACCTATGCGAGGTCGAAACTGCAGTCCACCCTGGATGATAACACCTTTTGGAAAAGCAAGTTTATGCGACATTAAATGGAAACGTCAGTTCTATTCATATCATTGTGGGAAAAATCTACTATCAGTGAGCACAACTAATATATCTGATTTACTGCCAGTCTTGTGTCTTAGTAAGAGATGAAAGCTAATTTTAACGTTACAGCGCAGAAATACAACTCATATATCTGAAATTTTAGCCATCCATCTTGAAGCCTTAGCTGCAACATTTCGAGTCTATGCATTGAAATCAGAGAATGCGCAATATTTAATGCCGCAACATGGCGCCTTATTCCTTAATCTATTTTAGCATATCCTAAAATTGCAAATTAGGTATCAAATTGTTTATATGGTAAAGAATTAGCATTTAATAATTAAAAACAAATTATTTACTATGCTACGTTAGATTACCATATTGGATATGTTTATTTCCTGGAAATTCACTACTTTGCAAAAGTTAATCTTTGCTTAAGGAATGATTTCAAAAAAGACTTGAAATAGTGCTAACCTGTTCCAAAATAAGACATTATGCTAAAAGTTCTAAGTGTGGACAATTTTAAAGTGCATATTGTTTAATACCATTGGCTATATTAACAAAAATTACTAACCTGATCGAAAAATGTTAAAGTTAAATATAC